AAATTTGGTGAAAATCAGACTGTACTATAACATGTCAAAAAATCATCAACTACCCCTACAATTTACATGAATAGATCTCAAAATTTAGCTTACAAATAAATGACCCTTTACTAAAGTGGATTGCATTGCCATGGAAATTAAGCAGCAGTAAAATAAAGTTAATACAAACTTAATAGAATAAATAATAAATAGACAAGTTCTGAGTTCTGCTGTGACCTTAGAAACTTGTTCATTCTAGAGTAAAATTTTTAATTTTGCCGCGTAAATGTTCATCAGAATGCCAGGAACCAGGGAAAACATTGAACAAATTCTGCAAACTAGAAAGCAGCCCTCCCCATTCTTGCACAGAAACCAACTTGATGGCAGTATAACTTGTCTGTTGTTGAATGTTCAGTTTAATAATAACATGAAAAACTTGTGTACAAGTTCGAGATGACAATGAAATATTACACAGCTTTTGTCATTGTAAGTGCACAGGTGGCATGTGAGTCCCACCCCACAGAAATGTTTACATAGCTAAAGGTGTGTAAAATGTGAGCCACAATTGAACAGTAACAAACTCAAGACAAATGAAAAAATTAATTTCATGTGTAAGCTTGTCATGTTGATTGGTCATGAGACGATCACATGGTTGTCAATAAATCTTATTATTGACATTGTGACCTTGATTTTGTTATTATTATTTGCAACAGACTCCAACATTTATATTGTGTTAATTTATTTGGTAAAATAAAACTTAAGGCCAGACTTTTTTATTCCTTGTTTCTCGAGTTTTTATGAGGCAATTTTTTTGAAGAGGGCGATAAAAAAATAAAATTAGTTCTTTTTTTCCATTAGATTTATGTGATTTTCAAAGAATTGTAAGTGAGATCATTGATCGGAGAGAAGAAATGAAATAACATTTTATTCCATGTATAACCTTGTTTCTCATCTACGTAAGACTTCAGTACTTTGATCATGATACTCCCACGAAAATGCAACTTGGGTTTGTTATGCGGCGGGCGGAAAAAAAATGAAGATAAAAATAAGTTTTTTTAGCATTTTTTTGCACTTATAAGTCGGCGAGTGCGAGAAATTATGCTGAAATAAAATTTTATTTTTATTTCATTTTCGGCTCCAGGTTCGCGAAACAAGGGATTATAAAAGCCTGGACTAATTACCTCAGTGGAGGTCAATATTCAGTTTTAATGACCCTCAGAAAATAATTATTGACCTGAGCTGCACCTCAGTTCATTAAAACAGGATATTGACCTCCACTTCGATAACTATTTGTTTATTATTCTATGAATTCGGTCACAGCTGAGTGCTTAATTGGAGAGATTTCATCATAAGCCATGTCTATCACATGCCTGCCATTCGGGCTGCCATTCGGGCTGCCATTCGGGCTGCCATTCGGGCTGCCATCAGGCTGCATAGTGTGCTTGATGTATGGTTCACATACATAAACACCAAGCACAGAATAACAACAGAAGTAGAATAATGCGTAGTTAAGATGATACTGTCCCTTTAAAAGAGTTATGGTAATGTAAAACGATATAAAAATAAAAAATAGGACCTGCAGCTAAGTATAATTTAAAAGATGTGAGCGGTCTGACACTGTAACACCACAGCTATGAGTTAT